GGCCTGGAAGCCAATGAGCAAGTTGTTCGTGAGAGCATCATCGTTTGACCTTGCGGGAGGCGCTTACCCCGAGATGCACGATGCTAATATTCAAGCCTTCCACAGAGGGGTGAGGTGAAACACTCAGATGCTGGAAAAACGACCCTGCTTTCCCTCTTCCCTCTTACAGGCTGGTTTGTTCATTTTAATTACCAGTTGCACCAGCAAATGTCCGTTGGGCTGGGCCAGTTACTCCTGCCCGGTTCCCCACCCAGGGCTCAGAACTGACTTTGTCCATTGGAGCAGTGTGGTGGGGACTGTCCTGCCTGCCAGTGAATCACCAGCCTTGGGATGGTTATTTCTGAGCCCTTGGAGCATTTTAACTCTGTTTAGCATGTAATTGGATGTGTTTTGTTTCTAAGTGTGCTTTCTTTACGTTTCATAACCAGCCTGAGGGTGGAGAAAGCTGCTGTTATGGGTATGTCTGGGTTGCCTCTTAACAGCGAGGCTCTGAAGCTGCCTTTGTAGTGAAAACTGTTCTATTAATGTTGATCACCTGGGCTGAGTCTGGTAAGATTTTTACTCTGCCCTGTTGAATGCCTTTTGGAGTGAGTCTCAGAAAGCAATAACTGGTTAATGACCAAGGGAGAAGATGGAGGGGAAACGAGTCAAGATTCTTGTCATTGAAGCAAATTGTGAAGCCTGGTCAAGAAGCCTGTAAGCATGCAGACTTGCTCCTGTGGTCATGGCTTGGACAGGGACTGAGAAGGTGGAGGCCGCTCACACTTGTTCCCTTCCCCCTGGAAACTGAGAGGTAGCTTAACTCTCTTGCATGGTGAGACAAGCTACCTCAGATACCTCTGTCCTGTCACAACATGGGAGCGTGCATGTAGGCAGCTACAGCCAAGCAGCCATATGCCTCCTTTGCACCCTCATTTAGCTCGCAGGAGCATATCTGTACTCTAAGAAACAAGGCCAGGAAGAGAGTGTATTTAGCAGCAGGCTTTCTACTTTTCCCAGATTTGCTGCTGGATCCATCCTAACTGTAAATGCAGTTATTTATTCCCTGCCTCACCAGGACCAGCTGCTGCCTGCGTTGTCGTGGCTTGGCAAATGCAAATTGCATGTAGCAAGAAGGCAGCAGAGGGTGGAATTCAGTGTTCCCCTTTGGGGTGAAGGGGAGGACGTAAATCTGTCCTGGCTACCCCTTCAGCTGGCCCTCGGCCAGCATGCGCGAAGCGTTCACACTGCCGCTGCCTTGACTGGGCTGCTCACTTTGCCAGCCTCCCGACCCAGACCAAAAAATCCATGGCAGCTCACCCACCTTCTGCTGCTCCAGTGTCTCTTTTCTGACACAGAGTTTGTGGCTTCCCAAATGCTGTATCTGTGTAATCTTTTCACCTCTCTGGCAAGGCACAGCTCAGTCCCACCCACCCCGCCAAGTCCTCTGAACTTCCACTTTCTCTGCGAGCCTCTGTCACAGCAGATCGTATCTGCCACCCCCTCCCTGCATCCCACATCTGTCCCGGGGGAGCAGGGCTGATTCATTCATACGGAAAGGAAATCTCCTCTTAGAAGCATCGCTGTTGAGAAGCACTAGAAGTGCACATCCCTTCTTTGAATTTTGTGTGCAGGGAGGTGTTCTGGAGGGCTGCTGTCAGGGATGGAAGCTTTATCAGGAGGGGGCAGCCTGCAAATGTCAATTCAGTGGCTCTGAGTCGTGTTTTCTGGAGGAGGAGAGGGAAAACTGATGATACTCCCCTTGTCATGCCAAAGTTACACTGCAGTGTGATGCGAAAAGACCCTGTTACCCTTCCCAGATTTGACTGAGGTCTGTGGCTTGGGGGTAAAAATTGGGTATGAGGTGGCTGTTGCAAAGAGAAAGAGCTGTACAAAACCTGCCCCTTTATTTTAGTGCAGAAATTCCCCCTGTACCCAAGTGTTGTATGTGCTGTTCAGGTGCCTCCTTCTACCTCCCTGATGTGCTACAGATATTCCTGGCTTGTTTATAAGCCAGGCTGCTTGGCCTGGACACAAGGCTGGAGCAGTTTCCTACAGCGTGGGACGTTTTGGGGAGGAGGGAGACAGAGTTTAGCAGCTTCACCCCCTGCGTAATCCAGACTCCCAGTAAGGAAACTGGCGTGCAAATCAGGCAAGTGTTCCTTTTTCCTTTTCTGACCTAGTTCCTGTCAGAGGCATCACAGCAGAGCACAACTCCCTCATGTGGGGACTCCACTGCCCTGTGCTGCCTGCTTGCTGGAAACCTGGAAGCTTGATTGGGGTTTCTGTTGGCAGCTGCTGGGTACCCAGCCCGCAGGGATGAAGAACAGACCCTTGCAGCTGGAGGATGGATGCCCTGGTGATTCCGAAGGGAAGCTGCTTCCTGCAGGGCTGCTCCAGGAGACGCCTGCCGATGGGGTGGTCAGTGTTGCTGCAGGCTGTCCAGGGGGACTGTGCCGAGAAGGGCTAGGGAGCAGCGAGTGATCCATGCGGTGCGAGGGTTTGCACTGAGTTGCATTCAAGAAGCAGATTGAGGTGCTCTCACCCTCTCCTCCACCTGGCATTTGAGGCCACATACATGCTTGGAAATCATTAGCAGCCAGAAGGGAGAGGTGTTTGCAGAATCGTCTTGCGAGGCTAACATCAACAGCAGACTCCTCTGGTTGCTTTCTGTAACAAGCTATTGATGGCAGCTGTCTTCTGCCAGGAGCCAGCAGTGTGGCTGTGGGACAGCCTGCTTGGTACAGTGTGACGAATCTGGGCTGAAGGAGCCTGGCTCAGCACTGCAGCAGGCACGGGGGGCTTGCCCAGTTATGTTTGTTCAACATTGCCCCTCGGGTGAGAAGAGATCCTCTGGCCCCTCGTGGTCTCATCTGCACACTTTCAGGTGTGCTACATGGGCAGTGGCTTATGGAATTAACAGTGGGGTTTGTAACCCTCCTGCTCCAGAGTGAACACTCGTGAGAGGTGGTTGGGGTCTTCCAGCAGTTCTCTCTAGTGAGAGGGACCTTGTTTTCATACGGTGCTGGGATGTGGCCGCTTGCCTGTATCAACCCAGAGCATCCCCATGGATCTCACAGGTACGTGTGTCTGCTTTGAAACGTACTGGTTCCTGCGCAGATACGGGATGGCGTGGCCCTGTCAGCTTTGTCCATACTAGCATTTTTTGCTTTCCCTGCAGCCTTTTTCCATGGATTTTCTGGGGTCAATGAGGGTATTTCCTACAGAACCTCCAGGTGCCACTTACTCATCCGGGCCTTGGGCTAAGTAACTTTTTCCTTTCCTGGTTCTCCCATCTGTGACTCTAAACTGACAGCAGTGTGTCTTGTTGCTGAGGGAAGGTTCATCCTAAGTCTAGAACAGGCGATGAGAGGTGTGAAGGAAAGCTAGGGTGACCATGGCTTCCTCCTTTTGTCAGGAAGTGACCTGTCCTATCCTCTCTTTTGGATCCGGTGCAGTGCTGGCATCTCCCGGGCACTCTTGCTGCACGGTGCTGTGGTTTCTCTGGCTGCTGCCCTGCCACAGGGGTTTCCCTGTGCAACAGAGCATCTGCCCTGCGTGTCGTGACAGGTTTGTTACAAACCCGAGAACTGGAAGCAGTTGATTGCGCTCTCGCTCGCTGCACCGGGAACTGATTCCAGCAGCTGCAGTAAGAGTCAAATACATGTTTTATGTTCAGCAGCCCCACCAATTAAAGGGGAATGAGGCTGAATTAGTTAATTAATATTAGCAGTTCCAGTGCACAACCAAGAGTCAATAAATATCTGAGAGATCCGACTCTTTATCAGCCACGTTCTGCCAAAGTAATTAGTAAAACAAGTTGTTAAACATCAGCTGTGTTTTCCAGTGCCCAGGCCTTTTGTTTGAGCCTTTCTCAAATTTAGGCTTCCCCTTTTCTTTTTGGAAACTTCTCTCAATGGGGCTGCTTTTTATCCTGCCTTTATCCAGCCTCCTCATCTGTCATCAGCACGAACACTGGGTTCTGTGCAGGCAGGGTTTCCACAAGTGTGTTTCTCAGTACCGGAATCGCTCTGCAGTCCTACATAAGCTGGCTTAGTCCTCACTCGAGCTCAGAGACGCCTGCTTTGAGTTAGCTGAGAAGGCCCACCTCTCAGTTCTAGAAAATTGGTTTGGAATTAACACTTAATTTGATGAATGGATGTGTGACATTCATTGCTCCTGTTTAAGACTGTCAGCAGACTGAGGCATGTGTTGCTGCCCTGTCTAGATTCGGCTCTGATTCACAGGTGGTTTCAGGGGCTCTGTGGGCTGCCTGTGTTTTTGCTAATCAAAAGGAAGTAATTAAATGCAACTTTGTCAGGGAGCATTGTTTTTTCATCTTAATCTGTAATCAGACTATTATTGTTTGACTCCCATTTTTCCTGAAGTATCTAACCAGAAGCAGCTAGAGGGAAGATATCAGGGGTTACCTTATTTCACAGGAAGAACCAGAGCAATGTCGTGGGTACAAGGCTATTCTCTCACTGAAGATTTGGGTCACTGCAAGAAGGACTGAGCTTGGATTTGGGGAAAAAAATGCAGATGTTGTTGTTGTTGTTGTTATTTGTCCTGGGGCAGAGCACACCTCCTCTGGTTGCTTATTTCACCTGCTGAATTCCCTGGATCTGGAGACTTGCTAGCATTAGGACTACCATCAGTCTCTCTCCCACATCAAAGAAGTTAGCAGGCAGAGTGCCTGCACTGGAGACCTCTGTATATCTCAAGAGACTTATTCAGCCCTGCTAGAGTCTCCAGAGTCCTGGTGAAAATCATGGAGCTCCTGCAAGGTCCGCTGGAGCCAGGGGCTGCAAGGGGCTGCGTCCAAGGGATGAGTGGGTGGGCTGTCACTGGAGTGCTTGGTTTGGGATCTTTGTACACAAGATGAGTTGCAAGGATGTTACAACCTACATGTGCAAGAGTTTGTGTTCCAGATAGAAACTCCTTCCGCCCCCTGACTCCCTTCTACCCATTCTGTCATGTCTTCTGGCAGGTGCCCACTGCTGCGTTGCAGGGCTCTGAAGATGTCAAACAGCAACACAACACAGGAGTCTCTGGAAATAATGAAGGAGTCTGAAAAGAAGGTGGTCGAGGAATCTGTGAACAAAACCAAATATGCATCCAGGTCACCAAGCAAGGAGGAGGTGGAGAAGGATGTTGGGGAGGAGGTCAGCGTGCGCCAGGAATCTCAGGTAAGTGCAGACAAGTGGGTAGTCGCTTCCACCAGCTCGCGGGTCTGGGCCCTCTGCTTCTACTTGGCAAACACAAGCTACTTGCTGTCCTTTCTGAAAGGTGCTTAAACCTGTGCTACCACCTCGCAAGGGTGCACTATACCGTACAGACTGTGTGTGTACAGGCTGCTCTCTTTAGCTGAATCTGTTCTACTCGGAGTGGAATAATTTAAAACCTCTTTGAACCCAGGAGAAAATGAGACTGGCATGCTCCTGAAAGCACTGAGCACTTGTGCTCAGTCCCGAGGTTCTAGTCCCATGGCTGTTACCTTGCTCTTATTCCTTTTTTTGACTTAAGGATCAGTTAGTGACTTAATGTAAAGTGAAGGCATCCCAGGGAGAGCTTGGTTTCAGGAATGGTGCTTGGCCATTGCTTTGGTGCTGTTAAAAATGCCCAAATAGGAGGTGAATGCTTTGGGATTTCATTTCAGCAAGGAAAAAAAAAAGAAAATCTGTGCAAGCATCATTTGGAGGGTGCTGGGACTCATTTCTACTGCTCTGCTTTCGTGTCACTTGGGCTTTTGGCTTAGTGTCGAGCTTGAAGAAATGCCCACCCTCAACAATCTGCTGAATGCTTCTGCGTTTAAAGCTGGTGGCGGGCGCCAGGTTTGTTCAACCACTGCATGGGTAGACACTGGTGTTGCTCAGAGAGAGCCTGACTTTGGTCACGGTGTAACTTGGAATGGCAACAGGTTTCTTAGAAGACAGGGAGAAAAGATTAATCAGTGTCTCTTAAGTCAGAGCAGCAGTGTGTGTCTCTCATGATCCACTGTGTTAGAACCCCCTTCATTTCCCAGGAATGGTAGAAGACTTCTGATTTTCCCACTTAAAAGCGTGTCGTGCACCTCCACCTGTGTGCCGTGTGGTCCCACAGTTGGGCTGGTTCTGTCAGAAACAGAGGAACCGGGTCTAATCCACGTGAAGTTTAAGCAGTTTTTGCCCATCTGGGGCCTGACAGGACAGTTCTCTAGGTTCTCCTGTTTGCACATGCTTCCTTTGCTGTCAGCTGGAGATTTTCTTCAGAGTCATTTTACATGCTCAGTGTTGTGCTGGCTTGCTCAGCAAACACATTCAGATTCAGCTTTTTGCCTTCTATTTCCTTTCTCCGCAGAGGCGAACTTCAAGTCACGGACACGCCAGAAAAAGAGCCAAGGTATGACCTCTTCTGACATCCTGTCCTTCTTTTGGCTGTTCTGAGCCGAGTTATGATGCCAGCCTTAGAGTGGTACTCTCAAGTCTTTCTGTCCCCAGAAGGAATGTGATGGTTCAGGACAGTAACTTTCCATGCGCTGGAGTGTGAGTGCTCCTTTTTAACACACGCTGACCCATGAAGGAGCTGTTTGTTGCTATTAACTGCCACACTTCATAGCGTCATAAAATGGTTTGACCTTATAGATCATCCAGTTCCAACCCCACTGCCGTGGACAGGGACACCTTCCACTAGACCAGGTTGCTCAAAGCCTCATCCAGCCTGGCCTTGAGCACTTTGAGGGAGGGGGCATCCACAGCCTCTCTGCGCAGCCTGTTGCAGTGCCTCACCACCCTCATAATAAAGAACTTCTTTCTAATATCTAGTGTAAATCTACCCTCTTTTAGTTTGAAGCCAGTACCCCTTGTCCTATCGCTACACGCTGTTGTAAAAAGTCCTTCTCCAGCTCCCTTGTAGGCCCCTTCAGGTGCTGGAAGGCTGCTCTAAGGTGTCCTCAGAGCCTTGTCTTCTCCAGGCTGAACAGCCCCAACTCTCAGCCTTTCCTCAACAGCAGAGGGGTTCCAGCCCTCAGATCATTGCTGGGGCCTCCTCTGGACCCGCTCCAGCAGGTCCATGTCTGTCCTGTGCTGAGGGCTCCAGAGCTGGATGCAGGACTCCAGGTGGGGTCTCAGCACATGTCCCCTCCCCAGAGCCCAGAACATGAGAAATGAAATTCGGATGTGTCACTGGAGGGACAGGGCAGTGCACAAACTAGAGTTAAGTAAAACTGTCTGGGTTCACGTAAGGCCCCCTTTTCTACAGGGAGTACCACGCTTGCTCCCGTAACGATGGCGTGTCCGTCTTAGTGAAACCAAAACTTTTGCTGGTAATAGGCACCAGGACACCACTGTGCTAGAACATTGTTTGTAGGCAAAATCTCAGGGTAAGAATGCAGCCATTGTGTGATTTTTTTTTTTAACCTTTCTTAGCCTTAGCCTTAACCTCAGTTTTTCTTTACAAAATTTGGTAGTAACTACTGAAGTGGTTTATCAAAAGTGACCACGAATTTTCCAGGCTTGGCAGTTACAGAAACATAATTCAGGAGTCCATCTCGTCCAGCTGGGATTCATTTAGTCCAGCCCCCTACTCAAAACAAGGACAGCTATGACATTTGACTAGGTTGCTCAGGGCTTGATTTTGAAACTGTGATTGAGAGGGCAAAGGTTTCTTCCCCTCCCTCTTTTTTTTGTTGTTTTTTTTTTTTTTAGCTTTCACAAAAGTTCAGATCCAAATGAAGGCAGTTTTTGCCCTGAGGCATAGGAGAGAGGGGAGACCATTTATATTTGTAACAGGGTTTCTGCCTGGGTTTGTTTTTGATGAAAGTAGATGTGCTGTTTATGACCTACAGAGTGTTCAGAAAAAAAAAAAAAATTCTAATGGTTCTGTTTGACCTTAAAAGCCAGGACTCTGTGCAGTACCTGCACAGGCTGTGATTCTAGTTCCTGCCTTGTCTATACCTAGGGCAGAACGTGGCTGTGCATCTCGGACCTTTCTCCACATTGTTGATCCTGCCTGAGATCTCATGTGACTGGTTAATTTATTTTTTCCAGTTTGTCACCCAAGTGAGCCAATTGCCAAGAGTCCTGAAAGTGCAGGTTTTATTTTAAGCATTTCCTCTAAACACTACTACATTACTCAAAATAACCCAAGTCATCAGGTCAAACAGGCAAGTTGTCAATGGGATGACAGGTTTTTTAATGAAGAATAGTAACAATCTTCACTGCTAAAAAAACAGTAAAATAGTTGGTTTCAGCTGTATCCTTTGTTAATAGTTTTAATTCTTGCCAGGTGAGGAGGGGAGAGGCTGTAATTGCTCTGGCTAAAGAGGTCAAAGAGTGCATGAATTATGACAGGGAACTGTCTCACCTAAAATTTGGTTGGTTCAAATCCGAATCAAAGACTGAAGGAAGAAAGTTCTGATTTGCTCTAGGACACCAAGCCTTTGTATATTCCTCTTTGCTGCAAGAAGCTAGGTTGGTAGTCCTCCTCTTTAGCAGTTTAGTGGGCAATAACTGCAGGAGTGGTTTGGTGATGCAGCAGCGTGAACTTAAGTGTGTGTGTTTTGGCTGAGGTGTCTTAACTATACTTTTTCTTTTCCTTCTCCAGTCTAATTCAAAGCTTAAACTGGTCAGGAGTTTGGCTGTATGTGAAGAATCGTCTAGCCCCTTTGTAGATGGGCTGCTGGAGTCCCAGGTAGGCCTAGAATGAGACAAACTATGGAGTATGGAAGCCCAGAAAATCCACATTTTGCTAGAAGTGATGTCCTGTCCTGGGCTTGTGCCTCTGAGAGCCAAGAGTTTCCCACAAGAGCCTGCTTTTGAAGGAAGTGGTCGTGCCTGTGAGCACTGCTCGTATGTGTACAGTCGCAACCCTCCTCTTATGAGGAATTGTCTGCATCAACTCACTGAGCGCCTACAACTACTCAAGTTGTGCAGATTTATGGCCCCAAAAAACCCCTGGTGTTTTGGGCATGGAAAGAAAGTTTTTATGCAAGCCCTTTCCATGCAGCTCAGGCTGCAGTGACTGAAAGCAGTCAGCTCACAGAAGTGATACGCAGTGCTCTGCAGAGATGATCCTCATCCGTGGTCACTGTGGGTAGTGACAGGGAATCTGAAGCTTGAAGGTGGGCACCAGCCAGGGAGGTGCTGAGAACCTGTCAGGCCCGGCAAGAGCAGATGGATTGAGCTTTCTCTGCCCACATAAGCTTTAGAAGCACAGGATGGTGCAGTGTGTGGAGCTCTGAGCTGGCTCACTGTAGATCAGGTTGTGGCTAGCTACAGCCCATCTTTGTGGAGCTGATGTAGTACCACACTGTGCAGAGTCACCAGCTTAGGTCTGTGGTGCTAGATCAGAGACTTCTACATTACTTTCCATTGATAAGGACAAACCTGGCCTGTGCCACTGCCAAGTGCTGCCTAGACCACCTCATCCTTGTGGTGAATAGGGTTCTTGGCCTCTAAGCCTTCCTTGTGTTGAGGCTCCCAGCTGCAGAGGCTGCTTTCCTGTCTTTTGTTTGGGTTTCCCTTAGAACTGTAGGGCCACTAGACGGCTTTTAAAACAACCCTAAGCACACATCCTGGTGCCACAGAGCTGCACCAGTGTGTAAAGGCAGAAGGATGGGGAAAGATCAGCCAGCACGAAGAGCAGTGCAGTTTTAACTTGAATTTGAGCAGTGCATCATCTGAGATTGCCTTTGACAATCCTACTGGTGTTTAACATTTCTTCCCGTAGAGCAGAATGAATCCTCAGGCCACGCTGGGCAGTTGCAGCTCAAGAGAGGAGGTGAAAAGAAACATCAGAAAGCCTAATGTGGCACAGGGACCGCTCATCACGCCACCGATGCTTTTTGCCGTGTGTTCTGTTATCTCCTCATGCCCTTTCTCTTTCCATGTTAGACGGTAGAGTCTTACTGAAATGATGCAGGACCTACCTCACCTTAAGCACTTCTGAGTCCAAAATGGAATAGCTTTATTTTATCAGCTTCGAACAGGGAAGCAAGTGACTTAGATTCTGAGGTGATCCAGGCAAGATGGGTTTTCAACAGTGCCAGATGCTGTTGAGAGTCCCCTCAGAGCCTGCCAAAGGCTTCTCGTTGGGAGGAGTGTGGGGAGAGACTGCTCTCAGAATGGGGCCTCTTACAAAACATCTCTGATCTGTAGCCTGAGTCATCCCCTGCCATTCCATGATGCCTTGCTCGGCTACCAGCATCTCCAGCCGTGGCAGTGGTTCCGAGGAGTGTCCAACTGACTCAGACCAACCTGGTTTGTTTTGTTCCAGGACATCATTCAGTTGCACGTTAGCTGCCCCTCTGACAAGGAAGAGGAAAAGTCAACGAAAGATGGGGCTGAGAAAGAAGAAAAAGACAAGAATAAAGAAAAGACACCAAGGAAAATGCTTTCTCGAGGTCAGGTGCTCATTTGAACAGGGCAGATCCTGTCTTACCCACTTTGAGAATTCTGCTGGCCAGTGGTACAGTTGTTGGAAGCAGAGCAGTTGTCTCTGCTGGTGACTGTGCAGGAATGGATTGGTTTTGTAGCATCCTTTCTGGAGCAAAGCATGGGAAGGGAGGGGAGCGGTTTCTCTAGATTGGCACGTGGCCCAGCAGACTTGCAGGCTTCCTGCATAGTTTACACTGACCTGGTGGCTTTTTAAATGTGCAGATGCAAACCCAAGACCCACTGTATAGACTTTTGCTTTCAGTTTAGGTTTGATTTTATAAAACCTGACACAAGTGGCAAGAAAGTGAGGTTGCAAGGAGGCGAGCTAAGTTTCTGCTGTATGATCCTGTGTGTATGATTTTGGGGCACAGAAGTGACTTACAGATACACATCTAATCTGGTGAGCAAATTGCACCTGAAATCCTTGTACAGACAGCAACTCTGCACTGGTGCAGATTCAGTTTCACTTACTGTTTTTTCTGCGATTACTTTTGAATTAAAAAGGGTGTGGGGAGAGGGGAAGAGCAGGGCCAGCGGGGCTTTCTGGTTAAACAGCTTGTGGGATCAAAGGTGCAGAAGTTGCTTGCACAAAAGTATGGTGTACCACACTTGCAGGGGCCTCCAGTAAGGGCATGGAATGTCCTGAGTGTGCTCTGAGTGGTTGGTTTTAGGAACAAGGTTTCCTTCCCTGAGCTGATCTGCTCTCCCTTTCTGTGGTGTCCTCCTGATGGGGCCTTGTGCTCGTAGCGTTCTGTAGTAGTGTACTGATCCTGCTGCCCACAGAGGAAAGGATATCCAGTCCCTATTTTACAGACTGAGAAACCAGGGGGTGCATTCAGAGCCTGTGCTAGAAACTGGACTTGAGCCCAGGTGATGTGGGTCCCAGCCTGTGCAGTTCTCTAACAAGGTGGGCTGTTCTCTTCCTGTCGTGAACAGTCAGTGTTGAGCATGAGGCTGAATTTCCTCCAGCAGCGACGTGAGGACATCATCCTCGTGTGTAGTGAGACACACACTTCTTCCCTTCAGCCTGTTCTGGTGTAGTGTTTTGTTAATGTGTTCTGCTGCTGTTGTTGTTTCAGATTCCAGCCAGGAATATACAGACTCCACTGGAATAGATTTGCATGAATTTTTAGTAAATACACTGAAAAAAAACCCACGGTAGGTCCCTAGTCAGTAAACCAACTTGCTTGTGGAGTGAGGGGAGGGAGCACCTGGCGACTGGTGCTTGTTTGATTGACTCTTAAACCTGTGGTGTTTGTGTGTGCGTGTGTGTGTGTGTGTATGCGTGCATCTTGGGAGGAGGGGGGACTACAGCAACTACAGAAAGTACTTCAAAGGGTGTTTTACTTTTTGGAATTCAAAGAATGTTACTAGAGCTGGTGCAGTGTAGAAACAAAAAGCACAACTGTAATTTTATATACTGCAGTCAATCAAAACATGTGATTGTGTATTACAGAGAGAGAGAAAGGAAAAATAATTTGTTTAAATGCAAGCAGGAAGGAATCTTGATTGCTTTAAAACCCTTTCTATAAGTGGTTGTCGAATACCAACCTCTAAAGGAACCACTGCTGTGTCAGTAATAAATGTAATCAAGGCAAATGTTGGCATAGGAATAGCAAAGCTGGAGTCTCTGCTAGTGGAGCTTCCAGCAGAGCAGATTCAGTGTTACCAAAAGCCAGGCACCGTTACCAAAACAATAACTTTAAACTGAAAAAAATCTGGCGATTCATTTAGTATGTATGAAAAAATGTGGAGTTTTTTAGTGCGGAGGATATATGAAGCCTGGTTAATAGTGTTGCTTGCTCCAGGTATTTGTGACTTTGTTGCAGAGAGGGGGAGTACCAAGCGAAGAAAGCTGTGTTTCACTGTCTTTAAAGGTGGCCTTTTGCTTTTTCTTTTCTTGACAGGGACAGAATGATGCTGCTAAAGTTAGAACAGGAGATTCTGGAATTTATTAGTGATAACAAGTAAGTGATCATCACGTTTATGTCAAGCAAAAGAGGTTTGTAACTTACAGTTTAGGAGCTTGGGCACCCAGGAGAGGAGCGAGTGTCTTTTGGTCACACTGGTTAGCAGGCCTGTTCTCTTGTACATCCTCCACCTCCTTTTGGCCGTACACAAAGTTTCTGTGTATCATACTGATTTGGTATCGGTTGCTTTAACATTATATCCACTTCGAAGGAGGTTAGTGCCATTGTGCTTCTCCCTAGCGTAAATTCAGGGTGGAAAGCCCAGAGGCAGGATTCACATCCCAGAATGTGAGATAGAACGGGTGTCTGCAGCAGAGCTTGCAGACTTCTTTACCTAATAGGATCAGAGAAGTTGAAGAATAAGTACTGATTCTGCCTCCTGTTCCTGCTTAGAAACAACCATGTGCATTTCTGCACAAGCTGGTCTTGTTTCAGGAAAGGCCTATTCAGCTTGAGCCCCAGAATTAGCCCAACTCTGTCTGGCAAAGCAGTGTAAGCCCACACTCCCTCTCAGTGTAAGAAGCAGCACTTGAGTCACGATTGACTGCTTGGAGTAGGTGACATGGTCTGATCTGGGATCTGGTTAAGGCATTTCTGGCCTTGATCTCTCTTCTGGTGTCAGATTATCGTCTGTTTCAAGGCTTTCTAAATTCCAATGCTTTCTCCCCTCTGCTCAGCAATCAGTTTAAGAAGTTCCCTCAGATGACCTCGTACCATAGGATGCTGCTGCACCGGGTGGCTGCCTACTTCGGCATGGACCATAACGTTGACCAAACCGGGAAGGCGGTCATTATCAACAAGACCAGTAATACACGAATGTAAGCGGGAGGGAGGGAAAACAACTGGGCTAGCATCCCCCTCCCTTCCCTGCCCTGCATGGTGCTACATGGCCCCCAGACACAGAGCCCTGGCACGGTCCAGAGCAGGATGGACACATTTTTTTGCGTCGGTAAGAAGGGCAGGTCCCCTCTCTAGGAGAGAAGAATCCTTCACTTCCAGTCCTAAGCATATGTATTTGAAAGCCCTTCCTAGCTCTCCGTAGTTCTTAAAGAAGGGGCAGGAGATCTTGTTGCCATCAGACAAAGGAGAGATTTAACACAACAGACATCTTTGCACACCCCCTCACTCCCTGCAAAGCAGTGGTTTTATGAAGACAGTGCTATGTCCTTTTTTGCCCTGCTAACAAGGGCTGATTCTTCCTGCAGCCCTGAGCAGAGGTTCTCTGAGCACATCAAAGACGAGAAGAATGCAGAGTTCCCACAGAGGTTTATCCTAAAACGAGACGATACCAGCATGGACCGAGATGATAATCAGGTAAGGGGTGGCAGTGGGGTATTTGCATACTTTGTGAAAGTCAAATGCGACTTCTAAACTGAGAACAACTCTAAATTTCTCTTGGGTTTCCTGCAGTAGCTTTCTTTAATAGAAGCTTTCACCCTACCCAAGCAGCATCATCTAGATATATATCATGAAAACTTTACAAAATACTGTGGAAATGCATGAAGAATTTGTGTGGGTTCTATGGGGGTACTTTTCTGTACCCTGAGTATCGACTGGTGACTGGGCCGGGCTTTAAGGTGAAGCCTTTTGCTAAGGTTTCCTTGGAAATGCCCCAGAGCTGAGTGTTGCCAAGCATCTCTCCCACCCCTCCCTGGGCCTTGCAGCGAGTCAAGCTGTGAAGTCATCAGGACCTTGCAGAGCTGCTAGAAGGAAACCATCGGCAAAATGAAACACTCTGAGCTCAGCAGCGTTGCCAGTCATCGGAGCCAAAACCTCACCTGAATCTCTGGTTGCCTTTGGGCTGTCACAGGTGGCACCACACCTGTAACGCAGAGCTAGCTTGCTCATCTGTGGCTGTTTTCCCAGCCTGTGCCAGACAGAAAGTTGAACATCAGAAACGGGCAAGAGACAGGAGACCTCTTCACCAGGGATCTCATGCTCTTTGCTCTTGTAGCTCCCATCTTTACATTGCCCCAAAGTACCGCTGTTGCTTGCTTTGGGTCATGTTTCTGAACTTAAGTAGTCAGGATGGGGAGCTGGTCACTGCAATCAGTATCAGTTTCTGTTTTCCCCGTGGTGGCACTCTGCAGGTGGTGCAGCTACCCATGAAGCACAGAATCTATGACTGAGCAGGAGTCTGGTGTGTTGGCATGTGCTCTAAGGAGTGGCCTTTAGATTTTGACCCCTGGGAATAGACTGTCTTTCAGAAGCACATGATGATGTTCCTGATCTGTCCTTTCCAAATTAGGCAGAGTTCAGGCAGAGTGGTTGTGCTTGATCCAGGAGGTGGAGTGCACTAAGACCTCCAGGATGTTCATCCCTAGACATAGGTGTCCAGAAGGTAGGTTCAAAGGCAGAGGTTGTGTCATTGCATCCAGGCATCATGCACACACTGACACTGCTAAGTAAAAATATCAGCAGCTGGCTGTGCCCCCTGCTCCCATTGGCAACTGCTGACCCGCTGAGATGTGTTTGTCCCTTCAGATCAGACTCCCCTTGCAGGATGGGAGAAGGAGCAAATCTATAGAAGAGCGAGAGGAAGAGTATCAGCGGGTCAGGGAGCGGATATTTGCACGAGAGGTAAGCTTGGATGACTCACTTGCCAGGTACCCTCCTGGAACTTTGTCACAGAAGTCAGATCTCGTCGTTGCCTTTTGTCTGCATTTCCCAGTGTTCTTAGTATCTACCATTGAATTCCAGCTCCTAAGAAAGATGTCTAAGACATTGAGATAGAGGAGCCACACCTCCGCTCTCCAGTTTGCTCCTTCCCTAAATTGCCTGTTTCAGGGAGCAGTAGGTATGTGGAGTCTGACACAGGAGGCAGTTTTGTTCCTTGCTGCCCAGCAAGATTATAAAGCTTACGCAGTGGCATTTCTGGGATGACTGGCAAATCAGTTGATGAACCTGAAAGGAGCAGCAGCTCTTCCCCAGCTTCTCTCCAGTGCTGCAGCTTCGACCTCCTGACCGAGCAGTGCTGCCCATGGAGTATCAGGCAGGCCTCTGTGCCTTTGCAGGGTGAATCTGGGCAGTACGTATTGTCTTTCTTACAAAGTGTCCAGCTTGGTTATTGCTCCCTTGAGATCTCTGCTGCGTACCTGGAACTCCTCTAAGCTGGAGCTGTGTTCCTTGCTCACGTCTGGCTCAGAGAGGCTGTTGTGCTCTGCTGTGTTGGATACTTGTCTGCCAGCTGGAGGCAGCTCTCCACACTGTGCCAAGTGGGGAAACGATGCAATCAAGGATGATTCCAAGTGCCTGTCTGCCATGGATCATGTTTGACATCCAGCTCCTTGCCTGCTGCTTTTGAGCGTCTTTGGGTCAACGCCTTTCATTTTTCCTAATGGGAATTGCCATGAGCCTGTCCAGGCAGGACATTAAGGCAGCCACTGTGCCGAGTCCCTAGCCAAGTCACCTCAGCTGATGACTGTCCAGCTAGTTGTGATCATGGGCTGGTCTTACCTGCACAGGCGCCAAGCCGTCCAGACATGTTGGTGAGCAGCTCTGCCTGCAGTCATGGACCAGAGCAGATGCTGTCCCGCGTTAGCACAGCACTGGGTGGGCATGTACTTACCCTTGCTCTGTGCTCATGGGCTGAGCCAGTGCTTTGCATCTGACTTCCAGAGGCAGGGGTGAGTGTCAGGGGATGGGCTGGGCTGACTTTGAGCCCTCTGGCTTTTTTTCATGGCTCTGAATAATTGTGTCTGCATTTAGAAAATCAGGATCCATGTATGTCTGGCCTTAATTGTTCATTGACAAAGCTACCATCAAAGCTGTCTTAGGGCAATGAAGTAAGGAGTTGAGGACTGAGATTTGCACACTCTTGAGACATCTCGGAGTAGCGGATGTCAGGAAAGGTTCCTAATGGGCCAGGATGGAGAGCCGAATGGGACTGGGGTGCAGAAGGCTCAGCAAGACTCCTGAGTGACCGTGTAACTGGTACCCAACACAAACTGTGTCTGAGTCCCATACTGTTAGTGCCTTCTTCCTCTTTGCTTTGAAATTGCCTGGGTTTGTTGCTTTCAAAGTTACTAAGTCTCCATTTTCTCTCCTTCCCATCTCTATGTCTTTTCCGTGCTTTCAGACTGGCCAGAATGGATATCTCACCGACAGCAGGTTAGTACTGTTTAGCAGACACTATTTGTATCTCTGGCTTTCTCTGCAGAGGACTGCATGACTCTATAATGATGCTTTTTTCTGATGTTAACCGACAGAATCTCCAAAGAAGGCTTTTCTTCTAGTTCTCACAAACGGAGGCAGATTTTTAGGTATCTCTGTGTGACTTTTGTACATTGTCCTGCTGAGTAAGTTTGCCCCATGCATGGCTGATTGTGAAGTTATTGAAGTTGTATTTTTTGCAACATCAATTTGAGTCCTTTTTTGCTGATTCATCAATTTAAATGGAGGGCTGGAAGGTGGGAATGGCAGGGAGGAATGGGGAGGCCAGAGGATTCCAGCAGTTTTCATACCATTCCGCGTCTTGTTTCCCAAAAGGATAGGAAAGCCCTTGCCCTTACAGTGACAGGATCATCATCCAGGTAAAGTGGGATTGTCCCTTATCCCTGATTATAAAGGCTGGGTTAAGGAACGGTGGCAGTGAAGTGTCTCAGGCTGCCATTTGAACCAGAGCATGCTGCCGAGGGCACTGGGAACATGTTTGAGGAGCATTTTCTTCTAAAGTAGTTTTCCTGTGGATGAATGGGCAGGAAGGATGGAGATAGCCTGACGAGTCACCTTGCACAGACCCCTGCTGCAGGAGGCTGCTGAAGGTGGGAGGATAAAGAACAGGATGAAAATGAAGAGACCCTCGTGCCTGCTGTCCTCTTGTTTAATACCCAAAGCTCCAAAGCTGAAGCATTTCTGTATATGAACAGGACAGGAGGATCTAAGCAAGTGTAGGAACAGCTTTGCCCCTCTCCTTAGTCCATCACGTGGCTCAGGCTGACCTTGGAGGAATGCTGTCGTGGAAAATCAAGTGTCCTCAGCACAGTTACAGGGACTGTGTCCTGGAGTCTGCCTCCAGCAGTGGTGTTCAAGGCAGGGGGTATAGTTTTCAGATCAGCCATGGGGCTGTAGTAAAACTCACCTAGCAAGTGGCAAAAAACCCGTTGCTGATGTGATTGCAGCTTTAGGAGCTGAGCTGCAGCCAGTGCTGCACTAGGAGCTTTTCTGACTGTTGTGTCCAGTCCCTGAAGAGCTTGGTTAACCTGCTGTCTTTGTGTTGTGGTTTCCATAGTGGGAGAGGGAGGATATGTGGGCTTCATGACCATTTTCAGCTCTGCACAGAGATACAGAAGCCCTTGAGGAGACTGGGGTTCCGTCAGTGGTGGTGCTGGAGATGATGTCTGTGTGAACTGCAGAGACTTGCAGTCCTCAAAATCCAGCATTCAGAGCAATACAGCTGTCTGTTTTGCTTGCTTGGAAGTCCTTTATTAGTGCTGCTGAAGCACAGATCTGATTGCAGAGAGCTCTCTGCTGATGGGCACATTTCGAAACAGGTTGTAGTAAGGCTTATGGAGAGAAAGGCATTGCTGGAGCTGGTAAGGCAGTGCTGTCAGGGAGCAAGGGTGTGGTAGTGTGCCTGGAGTTTGGAGAGCATTTAGACAAAAAGCAGAACCGTTATGCTGCTGGATTAGCAGTTAATGAACTTGAGGAGGGTCTGGGTTCTCAGGGGACCAGAGTTTGCAGCTGAGTCAGAACAGAGACCATGGCATGCCCCTTCCCCACACACTGTAATCTGGGGTGTGAGGCTGCGTGGTCCAGTTCCGTCACCTCTTTAGGGATATAACCATTGTACTGGTTTTCCAAGAGACGTATTTCGTTTGGCTCTCGCATGCTCCCAGCAGCCCAGGGCATCACCTCAGAAGTTCCTTCCAAGCCTATCTTTTCCTGTCCACAACTGCGTGGAGCTGCTGCCAGACTCCACCTGCAGCGTCATATGAGCATCTCCTCCAGCATTGCCTTCCTCACCATTCCTCCCCAGTGAAAGCCCAGGAACCCATTACTGTGCTTGTAATCCTTAGCTGGGCTGACAAACCAGGCTCACTGCTTGGAATATTTTGCTGATACGCCATAAAGTCCTGCTGTGGCCAGACCTGGCCTGGGGCTAAGGTCATCAGTGGGAGTGCAGCCCTGAGTGTAGCGATACACCAGCACGTAGCTGCTCTAGCTGGGCAGGAAGCCTCACCAGGGCTGGTGTGGAAAGTAGTCTCGCAAGGTGTTGATCAGCCTTGTCTCAAGGCCTCTGTTAAAAGCTCACTGTTCTGAGACAAGGAGGGCTTTGGCAAGGGATCATGCTCTGACCCTGCTGGCATCTCTTGCATGGTGGGATCTGGCTAGGGAAAAGGGCCGGGAGCCAGCTCTCAACACGTGCCAAGGAAGATCAGCAGGATCTGGGTCTTCACAGTGCATGGCCAAGAAAGCTGTGACCCAGGGTGTCTGTTTGCTGTCAGATCCCTGTACAAAGTGCCAACGTGCTGTGTCACAGAGCCAGCTGCTGGCGGGGCTCCCCACCCCGGTGCGGTAGTACTGGTGCGGCACCTGCAGGTCCTGCTGCTGCCCCTTTGCCCTGGAGGTGCAGTCTAACGCATCCGGTCTCTGCAGGGGCAACCCGGACAGCTTGAACCGGGCCTCAGGCAGCCGCCAGAGCAGCACAGAGAGCGAGATAAAGGCGCTGGAGCCTCGGCCGTGGAGCAGCACAGACTCGGATGGCTCCAGCCGCAGCCTGCGACCACCTGTTACCAAAGCCAGCAGCTTCAGTGGCATCTCCATCCTGACACGCGGGGACAGCGTCGGGAGTAGCAAAGGCAGCACTGCCAGCAGAACATCCCGGGCAGGTACTGTACTGTTTCCCCTGCACACCTTCTGCCACAGGCGCCTAGCAGACATAGTCTTTGGACTGGGAGACTAGGGCTCGTGATGCTCTAGTCAGTGACTCTGGTTAACATGGGAGATGGCTGGCATCATCCGAATGTATTCAGTACCTGGGCAGGGTTATGCCCGTTAGTTCATCATCTGCTTTTTCGGTACTCGCCATCAGATCTTCCTTCCTTTTAGTAGAGTTATCTAAGACAAACGACATTGTTTAGTCCCATACCCTGGAACTCAAGCTACCAATTTTCTGTTGTTTTCTCTCCCCTGCTGTGCTGCAAGTTATGTTGCCATTCCTTCCTGCTCCCCAGAATCCCTCACACCCCTAAGGAGATGTAGTCAGGGTGAACTGTCTGGCACTTTTCCTTGCATTCCAGCAAAGGTGGTCCAGGGAAGGGTGTCACTAATTAGTCTGTCTCATCAGACACACAGTCTGTCTCATCAGACAAAGACTGTGTTAATTGGTATCTGCCTACGATGTTCTCTCAAAATGATTCACTATACCCCTGAGAGCAAACATAACAGCAGCAAGCAGGGCCTGCAGCTCCTCAAGAGCTATTGAATACAGCTCAGGGTCTCAGGAGTGCCAAAGGGAATTAGCATCACAAGTCTTTCTCTGCTTCAGATCAGTTCTTGCTTTACCATCTAGGTAACACAAAGGGTAGCCCATGCACAGAGAACGTTACTGGGGAGCATCACGGGTGATCTGTTACTGACAGCAGCCTCCTGAGAGGTGGTGTGCTGCACTTGGCAGGGCACAAGCCCTTCTGTCAGTGGGGAGCAGGGTCCTTTATTTTCAAATGACTGCTTGTAAAGGGCATTTGTGGCAGAGGCAGCACAGGTCTTGGCTTTCATTTTAATGGTCCAGTGATACCTGAGGAGCCATATGGTAGCTGGTTACAATTGCTGTGCAATATCAATGAGCAAAATCTAGTGTTGTCTCACTGTCTAGCTTCCTCCATTCTGGCTGGTAGGCAGCAGGTCCCCAGATGGCTGAGAGGTGTCGTGTTACTGGGAAGGGAGGGCAGATCTGTGCTGGTGGGTGATTAGACTGCTCCACAAGAACCCTTTCAAACAAAAGGGATGGATCTAAAAGGCAGCTGGGCTACTGTTCTAGTACCCAGGCTGGCTTTGAAAACCACACGTTCCATCTTGCAGTTTGAAGGTGCCTACATCATCTCTTGGGACCCTGTTTCCATTGTGCTCAGAGCTGCACTTATTCTGTATATTGCAACCGCCTCCGGGACTGATTCATCAACTGGTGGGAGCAGTTATTTGAAGATCTGTCCCATCCGTGTGTGAAGTAGAGCAAGAGAGGATCTGCTTTTTTACTCTTTCTGTATTTTTCCTCCAAGTCTCCCCTGGGAACAGAAGCCAGTTGTTCTCCAGGCTTTATATAATGGCAAGTGATTAGAAACGTCGGCGGGGGGGAATGCAACGGAATTTTCACTTGGGGAGGGGAACCACCACCCTCCATATCCTCGTGTTTGTTCTGTGGGGGAGGAAGTGCTTAGGACTCTGGGGCTCCTTTTCCATCTCAGCATTCAGCCCCTGGGCAACTGTCAGCAAAATATTTCCTTTGCACCATGTGGCTGATGATACAGACCTCCTTAGCAGAATGCCTGAAGATCAGCTGTTGAAATGCAGTAGATCAGAGGCAGAATTAGTTAAATAGCAGCTACTGGGCATCAAGCAATAGTTTCACAGCCCTTTTATTTCTGGAAGTAAGACTGGAATACTGAGGAGAGCACTTCCCAGCTGGGTGCCCTGCAGCATGTATTGCGCTCCTTCCTAATGATTTTTTCTGCCATGGGAAGGAGTTGCTTTCAGCCTGCCACCCCCTACCCTTTTACCCAAAAGATGTGCGTATGCTGGGTCTATGTGGCTGTAAAATAGGATTCCGTCACTCCCACCTTTGTTCTGGTCAAGCACTCGAACAGATCAGGACAGCATATTAGTGTCCGAGAAGGGGCTGTGCCTAACTACAGAACTGAGCTGTGACTAGGAACATCTCTCCACCTGCTTTCCACAGGCTGGTTCGTGGTACTGAGCTGACATGGGTGTATCTGGCAGCTCCCTCTTCTTGTAATCTGTGCCTCATCTGGGGTGGAGAGCCGTTCACCTGGCTGGTGCTGCTGTTGACAGCCAGACTCCTCTTCCCAGCAGAGAGCCCGTGGCATTTATAGAGGGCCCAGACTTGTGTCTGGTGCTTTCCAGAAAAGGCAGAGGGCACATCCCTCTGAAGAAGCAGTTGCGACGCAGATGTGTGTTTACTGCCCTGTGCCAATCCTGCCAGCACCTGCACCAAGCATGCACTGTCCTGTGTGCAGAGGCCAGCTGGATTCGTCATATGAGCCTGGCATTGTCCTTTTAGTTCCCCGCAGTTCTGAGTAGCGTTGAAGGTTTATACAAACAGCAGCTACCCCAGAGCTGCGGGTGGGGACCGCTGCGCAGGCTGTCCACTTGGAGTGAGGGTGCTAGGTTGAAGTCAGGGGAGAGAGCAGCACGCTTTTGGGAATACCAGCTGTACAACTCATGGCCATAGTCTGGAACAAGAATTGCATCCTGGTCTTCCCTGTGTGGGGCAGGGCATGCGCAGGTCAGGGGAGAAGAAGGTGCTGTGACCAGCTGTGGAGGGTCCGTGTGTGTACGTGGACATGGAGAGGAAAGAGGTACGATCACTTGGAGTCCTGAGGGTATCAACACCTTGGTTTGCTGTGAAGCAGAGACAGGCTGGTAACTTAGCCTGCAGCCTGCTCGCCCTGTCCCCTGCGGCAGCTCCCATGTGGACAGCAGAGAACGCAATCTGGCTGCAGTACGGCAGGTAGTGACAGGATCTACCCCCCACCCTCCCCAGCAACGAATCAATGTTTTTCTCTCCCAGGTACCAACCCTGGCATGCCTTTCTCTGTTCAAGGTTTGGTACTAGGCGCCCCTGAAGCGTGCACCCAGTCCCCTTCTTCACAGCCCAGCCGTGGCCTCCTACCTTGCACAGCCCAGCAGCCTCAACCGCAGCCACCCCAACAGCCACCACCGCAGCCCCAAGGACTTCCACCTGCAGCCCAGCAGCAGCCAGCCATGAGTAACCACATGATATCCCAGGTAAGTTTGCTGCACAGAATCCAGGGCTCGGTAAGCTCCCTGGGGATGCAGGGGGGAGGTGGAAGCAGAGCCAGCATACACCCAGAGTGCTCTGGACTACGCTTGCCCAGTGGGTTTTGGGTGTCCTCACACTAACGCTACCTGTTAGGGAGTGACAGTCCCTCTGTGCTGTTGGCAGATAGCAGGAGAAGGTCGGGGGCCTTGCTGTGCCTCAATATGATGCTGTGCTGTGACATCTGAACTTGCCAACCTCTTTTGTATCTGCTCAGGTCAGAAGCCTTCCTGGCAAGGGATTTGCAGCCCTTTGCTGAGTGGCAGGGTTTATGTTCTGGAACCAGTTGCCCTCCTGGTGAGGAACAGTCAGAAATGGTAGTTGGGTTTGAGCTCCCCAGTGCTGATCCCCACAGCTGGTCACCTGATGTCCTGGGCAGAGGCAGACCTGGGACTGTGCCTGAGTGTGTCTTCCAGACCCTCCCTGAGTTAAACCCAAGTGATGTTCCACAGCCTGCAGGGCTATTTCTGAGGATGGAGCCCTCTGGAAGAGCACTCATGGCTGTCATTCCTACATACTTTTTTTCTGCTCCTGAAGCTGTAAAAAACCCACAGCACAAGAGCAGCCCCTGTATCACTGCAGGACTGGGGAAGGGGTGGGAGCCAGCCCTGGTGGGCAGGTTTGGAGAGCAAAGCTGCGTCATGTGCAGTGGGTGCAGAGCTGGGTGGTGTGTGTGGGAAGCATCCTCGGTACCTTCCCATCCTGCCCTATTCAGAGCAGCGTGTCGGTGCTGGACCTCAGCCTGCCTGTGAGTTTTATAGAGATCCTTTCTGGTGCATCATCTTATGATGTCTCCTACAGCAAAAAACTGCAAGTTACACTGGAGGTTTTCAAGATGTGACTGGACAGGGAGGGTGCTAGATATTCTTACCTAGGCTCCCTTCCCCATGAAAGGTTGGACTAGATGGACTTCCAAGGTCCCTTCCAACCTGGGCTGTTCTATGATTCTAAGTGTTCTCGGTGAGATGGGATGGGAGGAGGAAACAAGCCTCCTCAAACAGCTTTTACTGAGGTAACATGAACAGCTCCTTGTTGTCTGTTGCCATCTGTATGAGGATGGGGGGAGATTGTAGTTTTTGGGCTCTAAACTGGCTCCAGCGTTGTGAATCTGTTTGCAGAGGATACTGAGACTCAAGGGAAACATCTCAGTTCTACAGATGCGATGGCTTCCTGAGGTGGCCAGGGTCCAGCGCTGAGGCCAGCAGGAGTGTCTGTCTGGGGCTGTAGCATGGCATGGGACAGAGCACAGTGCCCTGGGTGGGAGGTTTGAATACACAGCAGGCTTCTGGAGCTTGTGCAGGATCACTGTGTCTTGCTGGGATTTTATTCTGTGTCTTCTACTGTTTGGCTGTTCTGATGGTTTAGGTACTGGAAAAACTTTTTTTGTGTGTTTGACTTTTGGCGAAAGGTCTGAAATGCACTGTCCCCAATGTCCATGTACCTTCTGTTTCACCAAAGGTCAAATCAAATGATCAAAAAACCAGCCCAGTGCTGACCATTACAGGTTCAGTGCGCAAAGCGTAGTATGTGGTGCTTGATTTGGGTGGTGGTGTAGACAGTCTTCAACAAGTGAGAGGGGCCCCTGCAGAAGGCAAGAGTGGAGAAAAGACACTACCCGCAGGAAGGGCCAAGAAGTGCTGCGGAGAGAGCTGGGTGTCAGTGTCACACACCAGCGGGCAGTGGCATGGGAGAGACACAAAGGTGGTGCTAGGGGGAAGTGGCTCCTGCTGCTAATGGCCATAGCTGGCCCTTGTGAACTTGTGTCACTGTTCCTGCCAGGCAAGAGCTGCTTTGCGGACGTGGTCAGCCTTCCCAGCTTTCACAAAGCACCTGGCCGGGCTGTGTGTCTTCACAGAAAGACGAATGCTCTCCCATTCTGGTCTCCGTGCTTTCCAGCCCTCTGCAATGCCCCCCCTCTGTGTTTGCGGTTGGCTCAGTTGACTAACCTTGTTGTTCCTTCTTTCTCTCCTTCCTCCTATCCTTCCCTTCCCCCCCCCAAATCTCTCTCCTTCACTCCCTTCTCTGCTGGTCTTAGCCGGTCCCAGCGCTGCAGCCTGTTCAGTATTCTCCAAGCTCCTGCCCCCAAGTCCTCTTGCCAGTCTCTCCACCCCAGCAGTACAACTTGGTATAAACCCCATTTCCTCTTCTGCACTGTCTCTGTTGTACTCATGTGCTGTGTTTGTGTTGTGTGAGCTTTTGCTAATCAGGTATGTCATGGACACTGCACTCAGTGGGTTTGGGATTCTTGGAGGCTCCGCGCTGCAGTGGGGTCGAGGCAGTGGGATGCCTGAGGCTGTGGGACCCACCAGGGCTGAGCACTGCTGGAGTAGCTGGTCTTGGAAAGAGCCTGGGGAAGAGCAAGTGCCAAGCCCAGAGCTCCACCAGGAAGCGAAGCTTGTGCCCAGCAGTGGGGTCCAGGGGCCATGGCTGCCCTGTGGTCTCAGTCAGCCCCTGTGTTGTCTCTGCCGGGTCTTTTGGGAACGATGTGCACCATGGGACGTGGTCTCTGGGCTGGGGCCACCCCTGCCTGTGTGGGGCCCCGCATATCACCAGTGTCCGTTGAGCATTTGGGCACCCCCAGCAGCTCGCATGCCCCTACCCCCTGTCCTGCAGAATGCTCTTGGTCTGTGGCTAATTTATGGGGACCTTTCTGGGGCAAGCTCCTCCACACAGAGTAGGGAGAAGGGGTCTGCAATCTACTCAGCAGAGCTATGTCCTACATGCTGTTGTCCTACATGCTGTCCTCCTCTATCCTTCCCACTTATCCCCAATGCAGGCTGATGAACTCAGCAACCCCTTTGGGCAGATCAGCCTCAGCCGACAGGGCTCTACGGAAGCAGCGGATCCTTCCTCGGCTATGTTCCAGTCATCCCTCATCTCCCAGCAGACAGGATTCATCATGGCAACCCCTGGGCAGCCCATTCCAACCTCCAACTACTCCGCCTCAGGGCACACGGCCCCCACACAGCAGGTGCTGCAGCCCCAGGGCTACATTCAGCCTCCCCAGCAAGTAAGGACATGTGCAAGCCTGGAGGGGGTGTGCACCTTGGCCCAAAGCTGTCAGGCAAGGGGCTTGTGGGGAGCAGTCCAGAGAACAGTTCCTTGATAGTGGGTCCCCTCTTTTTCTGCTGCTTATTCATGATCGATCAATACACAGGGGTCCAGGCTCCGGGTCAGCAAGCACCCTTGCTAGGCACAGGATGGTGTCTGCCCCCTTGTCCCTCTGAGCTCACAAGGCACTTATCTGGGAATGCCTCTGGCCATTCCTGGCTCATAGTGTTGGGGAAGGGACAGTGACCAGATTCAGGGCTGACGCCTCTAAGCTCTCTTTGGGGTCCTGCAGGGCATTATGACCTCTAGGGTTGTTCCCCTGAGCTGTGATGAAAATTGTGCCTCCTGTGCTCTTGCACTACTGTGTTGGGAAAGTCTTGGATGTGGAGGCTGGGAGGAGCGGGAAGGGGCTGCGGTTCCCTGAGGAGCTATCATCTGGCCAGAGCCAAAGCCCTAGTTGGTTTCCTTCAACAGAAGCCAGGCCAGGTGAGAGAGAAAACTGGTCCTGGGGGACCAGCTTTCTTGATCTCACTCCCTCTTGTGTTCTCATCACCGTGTTTTCTTGATTCTGATAGATTCAGGTTTCTTACTACCCTGCGGGACAGTACCCAAACTCCAGCCAGCAATACCGATCTCTCAGTCACCCAGTGGCCTACAGCTCCCAGCGCCCTCAGCAGCTCCCCCAGCAGTCCCAGCAGCCTGGTAAGGGGGCAGGGGGGGAGGGGTAGAGGAGCGGGGCTGGGGGTGTGTGTTTCCCTTTCCTGCCACTCTTGTGTGATCTGCCATGCGCTGTCTCGGGCCAGGCTGCCCTTCCCTGTCTCCTGCTCTTTGCTGGGCTTGTACAGAAGGCCTCTGGACTGTGCAAAGGAAAGCTGAAACTTGGCCTGGCTGCGAAGGCGATCTCACCTGTGTCTCAGCGTGTAGCGTATGCACTGAGGTGCTGCAAGGTGGATTGAAAGCAAAGAGCTTCCTTCAGGTCTTTTTGCATCTGCTGTAAGGGAAGCCCTTTTCCCACTGTTTAGCAAGAGATGGGAGCAAAGCAGGATTTGAGCCTTCATATGCCAAGCCTCAGGCTGTCTCCTGTGGCCAGCTGGGAAGCTGCTCCATTTAAACCCTGTTCTGACAGGTTTACAGCCAATGATGTCCAACCAGCAGCAAACATACCAAGGTGTAATGGGAGTGCAGCAGGCACAGCCCTCTGGACTCCTCAACAGCCAGAGGAACAGCATGGGGGGCCAGATGCAGAGTATGATGGGAGTGCAGCAGGCACAGCCCCCCGGCCTTCTCAGCAGCCAGAGGAGTGGTATGGGGAGCCAGATGCAAGGCCTGATGGTCCAGTACACTCCACTGCCTTCATACCAGGTAGGCATCAGTTAGTCTCCAATGGGGGGCTGCTGGGGAGGGGGCCTCAGCTGTGTAGGCCTTGCAGGAAGTGCCCTGTTCCTGTGCCTGAGTGATGGAGCCAAAGACAGAGACTTACCTTGAGAAGGTAGTGCGTGCTTAGTGAGGGCACGTCCATGTTTCAGTCTGTGGGGGACATGCCTTGAGAAGGAGGTCTGAGTGCAGCTGGTCCTTTCGCCATTGTGTTCGCAGAAAGGCTCGGAGGGGCTGCCCTTGCCTGGGCAAGATTGCTCTGGGCTATGGTAGACAACTGTCTGGCATCTCTTCTCCCTTTGTGTGGACCTTGTTGGTGTCTCTCTGGGGACAGTTCTGCCTGCTCCTGCTCAGTGTTACCTGTCATTCTGTAGGGCTGCTTCTTTCCTCCCTGCACAGGTTCCCGTGGCCAATGAGTCCCAGAGTGTGGTCCAGCAGCCCTTCCAGCAGCCAGTGCTTGTACCAGCCAGCCAGTCTGTTCAGGGGGGGCTTCAGACTGGAGGGGTACCCATCTACTACAGCGTCATCCCAACTGCCCAGCAGAACGGCACCAGGTAAAGCTTCTGCATCCCTGGCCTGCCTTGGGGAGAGTGAGGTCCTGCTGCCCTAGGGAAAGGGCATAGCATCCTACTCCTGCAGCTAGAGGAGGTGGATGGGCACCATAGGTGCTGGTCATCTCTTGAGCTTGCCTGATCCTAGCTCCCATAGTCAGCGCTTCTGGGACACAGCTGTCCTGCAGCATGTGGTGCTTCCTGTGCTCCTTCAGACGCAGCTGTGTTTCCAGCCATCTCAAGTACTGAGGGAGCTGGTGCCCAGATGGGCAGGCTGTTTCTCCCCATCCCCAGCTCCTCACCAGAGCACTCTCTGCTTCACAGCCCTTCGGTGGGGTTCCTTCAGCCACCTGGCTCTGAGCAGTATCAGATGCCACAGTCCCCATCACCCTGCAGCCCGCCTCAGATGCAGCAGCAGTATTCAGGTAAGAGGAGCCACCGGTCAGGGTTGGCACTGATTCTGTGCAGATTGGATCAGGTTTTGTGGAGGCTGAAGTGAACAGAGCTGCCAATTACAGCAAAGTTTGGCAGCTTCTGTGCGATGGGTTTCCTTAGTCTTACCCATTCCACAGCCCACTGGGAATTACCGAGACGTGGCGCACAAACTTTGGTCCAGGCTGATGCTGGCCTGCGCCTGGCATCTCCTGGCCGCAGTGGGTGGGCAGAGTAGGAGCGGGCAGAGGGGGCTGCTGTGGGCTGCAGACTCCCTCTGCTGGCACCACCACTTAGCATCGCCGGGGCAGCTCTTTGACCAGCGAGCGCTGGGGATGAGAGGAGCATCAGGACTGCTTTGTCCCGTCCCAGCTGCAGGGGAGTGAGCTGGAGCCTGGTGAATGGGTGCAAGAGCTGGAACCAGGGTACTCGAGCCCAGCTCTGTGATTAGATCCTTTATCTGGAGTTTGCTGTGATGCTTTTAGACGTCACCCGAGCTGCCTTCAACTTGTCCTCTCTGCTCGCGTTTCTCCTGGATTAAAAGTAGTCGTTCTCTGATGTAAGCTGTGATATTCGAGAGGGATCCCAGCTGGGTCTTGGTGGGGCCTTTTTGCAGCCCACCCAGGCAGACAGCAGTGACAGAGGAGTGAGTATGGAGGGGCTGTTGCAGGGAAGGATGAAAAGCTGCAGAGACAGGCCAGCTGCCTCTTGTCCCACAGCAAGCAGTGGCAGCACCAGCACGCAGAGCCTGGGCAATACTGCTGCTGCTGTCTCTCCCCAGGGGTGTCTCCGTCAGGCCCTGGCGTGGTTGTGATGCAGCTGAACGTACCCAATGGCCCCCAGGCCCCCCAGAATGCCCCTGTGGTGCAGTGGAGCCACTGTAAGTACTACAGCCTGGACCAGCGGGGGCAGAAGCCAGGAGACCTGTACAACCCAGACACCAGTGCTCAGGTATTGAGAGGACTGGGAAGAAGGCAGCTCATCTTTTGGGAGCAGCCTGGAGAGAGAGAAAGGACCCCTGCATCCGTGCTGTCTGGATGGGCTGGGAGACGGGGCGGGCTCATTCCGTGGTGATGAGACAGGTGTGGGACCAGTCACAAGCACTGGGGCTGTCTTAACGCTCTCTCTCCCCCAGGCCAGCACCCAGCTGAACAGTCCCATCACGTCCCCAACCCAATCCCCAACACCATCTCCTGTCACCAACCTCAACAGTGTCTGCACGGGGCTGAGCCCCCTCCCTGTCCTCACACAGTTCCCCCGGCCTATGGGCCCAGCACAAGGTAAGGGGAAGGAGTGGGGATAGCACAGGGTTGGGTCTTTCCTGTGATTTCTTCAGACCCCTACAAACATTTACTTCCTTTTTGCAGGTGATGGGCGGTACTCATTGCTGGGCCAGCCGCTGCAGTATAATCTGTCCATCTGTCCCCCGCCACTGCTCCACAACCAGCCCAACTACAATGCACACCAGGTAAAACTGGGCCAAACACCCACCCACCCATTCCTTCAGTGTCTTAGGAGCAGAGCAAGACCTCACACCCTGCCCTGTGCTTGGACACCCCTTGGTTAAGTAGTAGGCTGCCTGCCCCGTGCTCTTGCCATCCAGCTGCTAAAGCTGCCATTGTAAATGTGTTTCCCTAGAGCCTGGCACTGGGCTAAAATTTCATCCTGCCCCCAGCTTTGCCCAGAAGCAGCATCAGCCCCAAGTCCTTTGAGTGTCCTGGAACCGTGGCTGTGCCTTGATCTCATCTAACTTACGCAAGCGTGATGTCACCTCAAAGGTGCCAGGGGGTGAAAGATTCATCCAGGTGTCTTCATTCCCTTTCACAGCTATGGTCTTGTCAAGTTTGGTCTTCCCCCCCGCTCCTGGGATGCTCTGTGGGCACTGTGAGGTGCTAGTGTCTCCTCAGGTGACACGCTAACATTTTCATTCTTTAAGGGGCAGGCTGGGATGAAACATGGAAACCGGAGCAAGAGACAGGCCCTCAAGTCCGCATCCACTGACCTTGGGACAAGTGATGTAGGCAAGTGATGCTGCTCAAGCAGTTCCCTCTGTGTCCTCTGACTGATCACCACTGCATGGGTGTAGCTGGCTACAGAGCCAGCTACAGAGACTCCAGATGTCACCTCTGCCCACACCAGCATCCCACAGAACCCATTGCTGGTGGTGGTTGTAGGAGAGCAGTTCCTGCCTGCCACCACCCCCTTATGAACACAAACCACCCCCCCACGCCTTAGGGCTGGCTTGGGAGGGGATGCAGGGGAGCCAGTCCCAGTCAGCAGTGCCCATCAGGAGGTGGGAGGACACAAGTGTTGCTCAGGAATGCAGTAAGCACTGCCTGCACTGAGCAAAGCTTTTAAAGAAGAGTGGGGAGAAGTTGTTGGGGAATCAGTGATGACCACCAGGACTCCTGGGCCCTGTTCCTTCCTCCATGGGGGCTGAAATGATGGAGGAGGTGGAGCTGGCAGAAATCCTGGGATTTTTTGCCTCTTTGTGAGCAGAAAGTGAGTGTCCAGACCCCTGAGATCTTGTTCCCACCATTGACTTCCAAACTGACCCTTGCCTCTCATGCTTGCTTTTACCAGCAGGGCCTCATCTTTGTAAAGGGCTTTGGGATCTTCCAGGGATGGCTGCGAGGGTTTAAATCCCCAGTGCTTTGTTTCTCCCTGTTCTTTGCCCTCGGTGGTCTCTATTTGGTCACCAGGGAGGGAAGGAGAGGCACGTGTCTGGCTTCTCCCTGCAGCAATACGGGACTTGCTAGCTGGGCATGAGCCAGCCAGCCTGGAAGGGAGGCTGACTTCGCCAGCTCTCTGGAGTTTTCAGACTTGTCCCCTGTGTCACCACCACCACCACCAGCAGCTCATTGCAGGGGGCCCTTTAAGAGCTGCCCCCTCCCTGCGGCTGGCACGTTCATTACATGCCGTGTTAATATTAGCAAAGAATCCATTCAGCCAGCCCTCTGCTAAGCCCAAAAGCCAGGGCTGGAGCCAGGAGGCAGCAGAAGTGTTTGGGTACCACAGAGCAGAGGCCAGAGGCAAAGAGGTTGGCAGGACACTGGGCTGGGCACACAAGGGAATCCTCCACGTTCAGGATCCACACACGGTGACGTCCTCCGTGGATGCAGCCTGTCTTTCTGCTTTCCAGAGACGGGGGCAGGAGAGCTGGCTTAGTTCCCAGTCCTGGTACCCAGGGATCAGGGTAGGAAGACAGGGCACAGCAGCTGGGAAAGCCCGAACTGAAAAGCCAAGACCAGCCAAAGGCAGCAAGGAGGGCTTGGTGTTGCTGGTGCCCCAGGCTGGTGGAAAATGCCAGTCTCCCCTTGAAGCAGACCATGTGGGGACCAGGATGTGGGCATCAGAAAGGATCAGGATGGGGCACTGTGGGGAGCGGTGTGGTAAGGGCAGTTTGACGGGGAAGAGGTGACTGGCTTAAAAAAATACATTCTTAATGTGGGGGCAGCTTAGCAAAGCGCTGCTTTCATGGACGAAGCAGAGGTGACTGCTCCAGTGCCAGAGTTGGTGAGGAGCCCACATGTCAGCTCTCGCTGTGCTGCTGCCACCCAAGAATCTTCTGCCACTGATGCGTGCTGTCTTTCCGCTGCAGTGCTAGGCCGAGTGCTGGAGGTGACAGACCTGCCCGAGGGCATCACACGGACGGAGGCTGACAAGCTCTTCACCCAGCTCGCCATGGCTGGTGCCAAAATCCAGTGGCTCAAAGAGACTCAGGGGCGCCGTGGAGATGGGGGCGGCGGGGGCAACAGTGGGACTCCGGAGAACGGCAGGCACAGTGACCTTGCTGCCTTATACACCATCGTGGCCGTGTTCCCCAGCCCACTGGCTGCCCAGAATGCCTCCCTCCGCCTCAACAACTCCCTGAGCCGCTTCAAGCTGCGTGTGGCCAAAAAGAACTACGACTTGCGGGTGCTGGAGCGTGCCAGCTCACAGTAGGGCTCACACGCGGGCACAGAGCACACTGGACTGCGGGCACTTCCCTCTGCCTTCTCTTTTCCTTTCTGTCCTCCGTTCCTCTTGCCCTCCTTTCTGGATATATTTATATGGACATAATTAAGAGATAAGAAATTGATTCTTTTTTTATCATTATTATTTTTTTTTTGAGTGATGCCCGTGCCCACCCACCTTACCCTGTGTATATTGTTTTGTTAAGCACTGTGTTGAACCGCACATACAGATGTTGATTGGTATGTTCACTGCACATTTTATTTAATCTGATTATTATTTGGAGGGGTATTTTTGGTTTTATTTTATTTGGGGGGTTGTTTTTAAATATAAAAACAGAACTTGTCCATCACTTTAACGCTGCTTTCCCGTTCTCTGCCAGTACCAGTGCTAGGGACTGTCTGTGCTGCCTCTTCGGGGTGAAACGACAACCAGGGAGCAGAAGGGGCACTCGCAGGAGGATATGTTCCTGCCCAGGCCCTGCCCCCGTGCTTGGCATGTACAAGAGCATTGAGCTCATGGCTTGCCAAGGCTGGGAGCCGAGACTGGAAGAGGAGTGCTGAGCACTTTGATCTGGGGCTGGTCCCCCCATCAGATATTCTCATAGCCTCTTTTTCCAGATGCTGTTCCCCTA